ACTGTCATATTATGGCATTGAAAGTTGTTCCTGTTTTTTCGCCTTTTGGCTTTTGGAAAATTCAGTTTTATTGCATATTCTTAAGACTCCAACTTTAGAAATATTAATTTACCAATGTGTCTTCTATTCATAGGCTGATATTGAGAATCGTCCATTGGTATCCAATTTGAACTACCCTATCCCACCTCCACAACTGGCAAATAGAGATAAATGCTGCCTAAGAAATTCATACAACTTCAGATTACCCAAAATTTCATACTCAATATTTCATTCATAAATTACTTAAGTCATTTTAGTTTAGTTCACTTATATATGCATTTTGTATGCTTTATATGATAAATTTCCCTACAAAATATTCTGAAACAATGTTTTCTAAAAGACAAATAACTGCAAATATAAATAAATGATCTTTACATAATACAGATGTCAATAACAAGCACCTCAAAATGAATAAGATTTTATTATTGAATAACAATTTTAGAGGGAACTCTTCCATCTCCCTGACTGGCAGTTAGAAATCGCACTTTTTCCATTGATCTTGTCATACCATCCCTGAAGGACTATTGAGGACACTCCAATTGTTAGGAAGTTCTTTCTAATATTTAGTCAAAACGTTTTCCATGGGTCTTACCTTGTTATTTTGCCAATTCTGGCCACACTATGGTCATGATGGAGACTCAGACTTTTGGGGGGAGGTGGGGAAATGGGCATTTATTGAAACCTTAAAATCTGTACCCCCATAATATGCCGAAATAAAAAAAAAGTAGCAGTGATGTTAACATATATGATACATATGTAACAGCTAATATACCTGAAAACTTTTTTTTCTTTTTAAGTTTCTATGCAATTTTCAAAATCATTAATAATGAAAATTAAATTTCCCATTTTTAAAATTCAGAGAACATACCGTTCTATTCTTACCAGCTATTACTCTCTAAGAGTTTCATACATTGATATGAAGGGGTATAGGTTTTCTTTCATGAGGCAGTAAGAATTCTGCCAATGCTAACAATCTATAAACCTGAGCCACACAGTCTCTCCTCTAATGAAATGAAGCTTTCTCTTGGAATTGAGCCAATGTCTACAGGATAAGTTGCATATGTTATTGAGTGGAACATTTCATTCTCAAAGGCTGAACTCAGGACCCCTTTTAATATATACTGTCTCTTATTATGGCAGGAATTTAGTTGGTTGTGTCAATATGAAACTGTCAGTTTTGCCCCTGAATGTTTTTAGTAGTTACAGTGACTGCTTAGGTGCAAGTGGATGAATGAAATGGGGCTGTATTTAAAGAGACACAGTGAATCCATTCACATCAGATTCATCAATTCTAATTCACTTATGTCTTTTTGGAGTGCTCCATCTGTCTCATTTGTTTCAATTGCTTCCTATCCTACTGATATGCTTTTCAATTAGTTGGATCAAGCAATAACAAGAATGACATAACAAAAGTGTACTATGTTCTGCCAAACCTGCTTCCACAGGTTCTCTCCACGGTTAAATATGCTTTACATCCTCCACTTGAAACCTGGATTTATTAATAGGTTGACAAAAAGCCTCTTCTCAAAAATTAATTAGAGTTCTGTTGAACTACGTGAATTTAATACAATTCATTTGGTAATTGATAGAATGCACCAGTTCACAGGTGGCCAAGACATTTACTCAATTCTACTTCCATCTGCTGATATGTCTAGCATAAATTTAAATTGCATATCCATCATCCTCCTGAAAGTGAGCATTAGATCCGAAACCCTCTTACATACAGCTGCTATTTTGTGTTCAGTTGTCTTTCTTTGAATGTCACAAGCACCATAAATAACCTGTTTCTAACATTGCAAAATTCAATTAAGGTACCTAGATTTAATTTATTCTGGTACTCACAGATATCTTAGAAGTAGCAAGAGGTTGATTTGTTAAGATGCTCCCGTGAATAAGAGTTAAGGACAAAATGCTTTATGTACAGGAAACAATATATTACAAGATGTTTATGTGTGTAGACAGAATATGGATTGTTATTTTAATTTTATTTTGCATATGTAACCTATTCTGCAATCATTCTTATTTTAACAAACAGAACTATGAAGGCAAAATTTGGCTTAAAATATGTCTAATGAACTAATTTATGGAGAACTTGCTTTTTTTCTTGGTTTGGAGTTTCACTGTTAGAGATTTTCCATTTCCTTTCCTATTTTTAATCTCCCCCTGTTTTTTATTTGAAAAAATTGAAAAATTTATGGTTGCTTTTCTCCACAAAACTAATTGAAGGATACCTGGCACAGTTAGGGCTTTTCATCAAAATAACAAACTAGAATGATTTAATGAAATGAATGAAAGATACACAAAATGGAAAATGTTCTCCAATGACCTGCCAGAATTTGGATGTGGATAAAATTAAATATACTGGTAAAACTTTTGATGCCTATGCTCTCTCACATAACTGCTCTCAAACCCATATTTAGTCATTTCACTTCTTTAACCCAAATTTTCAAGCTTGAAGAAAGTGAAAGCATAGAACAGGGTAGGGAAAATATTGTCCAATATTTTTGGATCAGCTAACCTTTATTAATGTGACAAATTTGAGGGTAGATATGTGACAGTTTTGAAATTGGGTATGATATTGTCAATATTTTATAAATAATTAGAAAATGAAAATAATCATACTACATCCAGAATGGATTGACTTCCTTGTTTGATTATATATAAAAAATGTATCATATGTTCTGCAGTTAAGTAGCACACAGTGGGTTTAATTTAAAGTAGCGTATTGGTGTCCACTTAGTCATGAATATTAAACATGTGTCTAATGATATATTTCAATGTATTTTAGGGTATTCATTTCAAAGGACTATTATTAAATTATATAATAGTCATTTTTACTAAAAGTAAGTATAATTAATATGTAGTGGTTTCTTATGATTACATAAGTGTATCAAAATGTGGGCTCAAGCCTATAATCCCAGCACTATGGGAGGCCTACCCAGGAGGATTATTTGAGACCAGGAGTTTAAGACTAGCCTGGACAATATAGCAAGACTCTGTCTCTACAAAAACATTTAAAAAAATTAGCTGGCTTGGTGACCCATCCCTATAGTCCTAGTTACTGGAGAGGTTGAGGGTGAGAGGACTGTTTGACCTAAGAGTTTGAAGGTGCAGTAAGCTATGATTGTGCCACTCCACTCCAGTTTGGAAATCAAAGCAATACCTTGTTTCAAAAAAAAAAAAAAAAAAAGAAATGTGGAGCTGCTGAGTAAACAGCACAAAAGCCATCTTCCTTCAGGAAAATACTCTGGGATGACTCTACCATGATGTTCCTCATATTTACTTAAGCACTGTCTTTAAATTCAAGCACATCAAAAAGCACAGAATCTATCCTCTAGCACATTATATGTTGATTGAGAAAGATATCGTAAAACAGGAGGCTACATCAGAGTATTTTTTTCTGCTATTGTTTTCAGCAATTTTATACCATTTTCATGTACTTGCCATCATCATATCAGACTAAAATTCTAATAAGGACAACCTATTTTACTATTCTTCACTTAAATAATATTTCCAGAATATTTATAGAGTGTTTACTAATATAATCAAAGTATTTGCTATTCAAAGATAAATCACTTACTTAATTTGAGTACATAATTTATTATGCTCTAATGTATTGAGCAGTTGTATGAGGAGCTCCATAAACAGCATACATGGGTTATACGGTTTTCTTTTTCCTTCAACATTCCTTTCAGTTTTAAAGGCAGTTTAATAGAAGATGAACTGTACCTGCTTTCTGAAAACAGGGTCCAAAATATGCTCTTGAAAAAGGAACTGATTTATGTAAAGTAATCCTTTTGCTGTATTCATGCAAAATTGATGGTTAGTAGATCTTCAATGGCATTAAATGGCAATCCTTTACAGTCACCTGTTAAGAAAACACATATATTATTGCGATTATACATGATCTTTTTTCAATTTTTTGTTTGACAAAAAACCACTATTCTTGTTAAATATTTTATATCAAGGTTTTATTTAGTTATACATGAAATCACTATGCTGTTTACCTATATAAACAAATACTTATAATACTTCTAATTAGATATTAATATATTTAGTTGTTGCTTTTTCAGATTTACTTTTTCTTTATAATTTATATTTAACAATAAAATACAGGAGAATATCACTCAACTTTCATGGATTTCAATAACTTAAACAAATTTAGCATGTTAATTTATACCTGCATTTCTGGCATTTCTTGTTTATTATAATTTATTTTATTATAATTCTATGCTATTCCTAGCATTTGTAGTTGTTCTTATTATTCATTTTATTTAAGGGATTTATAGTCTGCATTTCTTCTTAAGAGTTTATAAGTGATTTATATTTTGAAATATGTTTGAGAATTATGTTAGTACATGTTCTCTGCTGACCTGCAGGGAATTTACATGTTTGAGGCCATCTCTATTCTCTTTACTTTTAATGAAGTTCATTCTTTCAATGAAATTTGCATTTCCATAAAATTTAATTTTTGATAAATTTATGAATATGTCAGCATCAAAAATAGAGCATAGCTCCCCACACATATTATGTATCTCAAATTACTAAACTGGTATAGAAGTTTTAGAATAGTAGATTGATGACTTCAGAGTCAAAGGCCATCACCTGAGATTCCATGTTAAGCTACTACCAAGAGTCAAGGGAAACCTAAGATGCATACTTCATGATTAGACTGAGAAAAAAGTATTTCAATTGCTTGGAGTTTTTACCGTCAAAGATCATTGGTCTTTATGACTATTATTTATATTAGTTGAACCCATAGGAAATTGATATTTCTATTAGACAAAAGTGGTGGAATATTGGCAATTTCATATAAGTCAACCTAAGATTTTCTTTAATATTGGCTTGCCTTTTTTCTTATTTTTGATAGTATACATATATTTTAACATTTATTTATTTAATCAGCTGGGATTCATTTTTTGTATAAGATGTGTGGTAAAATGTTACTTTATTTGTTTGAAAGCATTAAATAACTTAACAACATTCATTGAATCATCTTTTTTGTTCCCACTAATTTACAATAGCACTTTAATTATATTCAAAACTCTTTTTTTACTGATATTTTAATTTTAAAATATTAAGGAGTACAAATGTTTTTGTTACATACATATCTTGTATAAGGCTCTAGTAGGGGCTTTTAGTGTGCCCATCACCAGACTAATGTTCTTTGTATCCAATAGGTAAGTTTTTACACATCAACCCTTCCTAATCTCCCCCTCTTCTTGGTTTCCAATGTTGTTTATATCTCTTTGTGCCTGTGTATGCACATTGTTTAGCTCCCAATTATTAGAGAGGACATGTGGTATTTGTTTTTCCATTCCTGAGATCCTTCACTTAGGATAATGGTCTCCAGTTCCACACAAATTGCTGCAAAAGGATATTATTTAATTTCATTATATAGCTTAGTAGTACCTCATGGTGTGTGTGTGTATATATATACATATGTACACATTTCTTATTATTTTCCTATTTAATTATGAATTAAATTATATATATGTATATATATATATATATTTTGCTTTATCTACTTATGAATTGGTGGGCACTTAGGTTGATTCCACATCTTTGCAATTGTGAATTGTGCTGCAATAAACACATAAATGTACAAATGCAGGTCTTTTTATTAAAATGACTTCTTTTTCTTTTGGGTAGATACCCAGTAGTGGAATTGTTGGATCAAATGTAAGTCTCCATACTGTTTTCCATAGAGGTTGTACTAATTTGCAGTCCCACCAACAGTGTATAAGAATTCTTTTTCTCTGCATCCATGCCAGCATCTATTGTTTTTGATCTTTAATAATAGACATTCTGATAGGGGTAAAGTATATCATTTGCATTTCCCTGATGATTTTTTCCTTCCTTTCTTCTTCTCTTTCTCCCTTCCTCTCTCCTTTTCTTTCCTCCTTTCTCCTTCTCCCTTCTTTATTTCGTTCCTTTCTTCCTTCTTTCTTTCCTTTCTTCTTTCTTTCCTTAACATTGTGACAATTATAAACTTGTACTCTATGTATTACTGCACCAAGTTAAAAAAGAAAAAAAGGCAAGTGTGATTTTTTTTATTGAGGTTTACAAACTTTGGCAAAAAAAGTTACATAAGCAAACAGAAAATCTTTATTTTAGGGCTTGAAGAGTTATATTTCTTTCAACTGGTCCTGTCATTAGGAAGAATTTTTTGGTGGTCAGATTCTCATGCTCTCATTACTATCATTACTTCTTTGTGATTACAAAGTACACAATTTTTCCCCTAATTTATGGCAATATTGAGAAAATAAAATGAGATAATGCACATAAAAAGCTTACCGACATGCATAGCACATATTGAGCATTTGATAATTATCACCAATTATTATTTTCCTATTTAATTATGAATTACTATAGCAATAGAAGAAATTATAATGAATGGTATTGTAGTGGCTATTGTTATTTTCAAATTTTCTTCTCAGGTTTGTTTTTAGAAGCAAAACTTTTCAGTTTCATCTTCTTAACAAGCTCATGCCTGTCTTTAAGACAGTATGTTGTGGTGAAGAGACTACTTCATCTGGAGTCGAAGTCAGATTACTTCAGGTTTCTGCCATAAACATAGTCTTAGAGGACTATTTACCATTTCTAGGGGTAATGATGTCAGATCCTGTGTCTACCCAGAGGATTATAATAATTGTCTTAACAAATAATTGATGAGAAAATTCTTTCTAAACTGAAAAAGTTGTTTTACTTTTTTATTACTTTAGAATATTATGGGATTACAAATGTTTAGGTTACATATATTGCTTTGGCCCTGCCTGAGTCAGAGCTACAAGTATGCCCCTCCCCCAGATGGTGCGCACTGCATCCATTAGGTGTGAATATACCCATCCCCTCCTCTTGGCTCCCACCTGCCCAACACCTGATGAATATTCCTATGTTAGTTGCTATACATCGAGTATCATATTATGAAAGATTACAACCTTTCTCAATCTATATTTTCCCCTCCATTTCTTTTAAAAGCAGGTCAAATACCATCCTAAGTAACTCTTTCTAGGGGACTTAAAAAAAGAAGTAAGTTACCTTATTATTTCAATACCCAGCTTCATTAACCTTTGGTCAACATAAATTTATCTTGTACAGCTTTTTCTGATTTTTTTGATCTAACATAGATTTTACTTTATAAGGAAAGAAATAAGTCCTTACAATAAGCCTAAAATTGTAAAAGCCATATGATCATTTGATTTTTCCTTACTTTTCCATATTCCTAACTATACTTCTGTTTCAAATTCTCTCCAATGTCCATATCTTCTTTTCTAGTTCATATCTTTTCTTCCTTTTTTTAAGACTGGAAAAAAACATTTTTTGCCTTATTTGAGGTGACTGTCTTTCATACAATCTGTTTGTAATTTTCTATTCTTAAAATGTCAATGACTAAGAAAACAAATATTCAAAATTAATATGAAATAAAACTTAATAACTAAGCCTTACATTGATAATGAATCTTTATTGACAACATAGTAACTTTAAGACAGTATCCAGCACTGTTATTTATGTTTCAAATACCTTTCCACCTTTGTCCCTTTGAAGAATTTCTTCATGTTAAAATTCCTGTTCAGGTATGACATACTCTTAAGTTTTCCTGGCAAATCTAAAAAGATGACATTATTTTGTGTCGCCACTACTTCCCAAACCTATTATAATTTCTCTTATTAAAAGTACTGCCCTACACTAAGTGATGTATCACTGATGTCCTTATCAAAGAGGGGAAATTTGACATACAGACACCAGAAATATGTGCAAACAGAGTGGTGACCATGTGAAGGCACAATGAGAAGGCAGACCTCTGCAAGCCAAGGAGAGAGGTCTCAGAAGAAACCAAACCTGTTGAAACTTCCATCTTGGACTTCTAGCCTCCAGAATAATAAGAAAATTTTATGTTTTTTAAGCCACCCACTCTGTGGTTTCCTCTTATGACAGCTGTACCAAACTAATGAAACTGGGGATAAGATCTGGAGAATAGACATATGAGTTTACCTATGGATGGGACACTCTACAATCCACCAAGAAAGAGGCATTAAACAAACCAGGACACAGAGTGACTTGGCTAACTAACTAAAACCTGTTATCAGCCATTTTAGTATAAGCACATTGATTCATTAACAATGTGGTCATGCTGGCAAGGATAGAGGTTATTCATGATTCCATAAATACACACACACACACACACACACACACATTTCATTGTTTCTTTGGAGAACACTAATGCAAAAAAGATACATCTATGTGTGTGTGTGTGTGTGTGTGTGTGTGTGTGTGTGTGTATCTGGACTTGGCTTATGTTATGGAGATTGGCAAATCCCAAGATCTGCTGCAGTTGGCAAGCTGGAGGCCTAGGAAAGTCAGTGGTATGGTTCTAGTCAAAAGGCCAACAGCCTTGAGACACAAGAAGAGCTAATCTTTTGGAGTCTGAAGAAAGGAAAAGATAATGTTCCAGATGGAAAGTTATTAGGCAGGAAGCATTCCCTCTGACTTGAGGGAGGATCAGCCTTTTTGTTATATTCAAGCCTTCAACTGATTGGAAGGGGCCTATTCACATTAGGGAAGGCAGTCTACTCAGTCCACTGATTAAAATGTTAATCTTGTCCAGACAGACACACCCAGAATAATGTTTGATCAAATGTCTGAGCTCCTCATTGTCTAGTCGACACATAAAATTGACCATCACACCTTCTTAACCCTACATTCTCCTTCAACGTTTGCCATTTCATTCTTACAACTATATTCCATATAAAATATATCTGTACTTGGTGTCCTCATTTTCACACATCACTTCCATTTCTTCCCTATTTTTATCTGCTTTTAATTCCCAATATTCCACTTTTCTTTTTCTGCACTTTAGCAGGCTTT